ATACTTTATCTGTTATTTTTTCATAAAAGAAACATTTTCTTTTATGATGGTATTTCTTGATATAAGAAACAAATTTTCTTTGTCTGAAATTTTAAATTTTTCTTTTCACTTTTACCCCATAAATTATATACCACTTATTATCTCTTTGAAATAAATTTTTATCATTTTATCTCTCATGTACTCTCTTTATAAATAATAGTATAACTGAAAAAATATATTGTTTACATATTTATTATTTTTAATTAAATTTAATTAATATTTTGAACAACCTAATTTTGATAGTTTTTTCTTATCTTACAATGTGAAAAGCGCTGTCTTAGATGCCTGAAAAATATCTTGGTAAGAAAAAATTTTGATTTGTAGAATTTGTATATTATTAACTGAATGTTTGAATAATTGGACTGTTTTTTTTTTTTAATTAACAGAGAAGTCGATGATGTGATTAGATGTTTGTTTGGTTGTGCGTAAATCCAAAGTCCAAACTATCTCTAAATAATCTGGTTTAAAAAATAACCTATCTCTAAATCTTTTAGATTAATGCCTGTCCAATCGGAATTAAATGTTTATTTATTGGAAGATAGCAAGCTTTGGAAACCATGTGATTAAAATTGAGTAAGTTTAATAGAGTGGGGTTTGGTGTGGGGGGGTTAGAGACAAAAGACATCATTGAAATTTAAGAGCAGTTGATAAGTAACTACCCATTAATTTAATAGAGTGGGGTTTGGTGTGGGGGGGTTAGAGACAAAAATTCATTTAAAAAAAAAAAAAAATTAAAAATACAGTATTCGGAATTTAATCAAAATAAATTTTACAAATCACATTAATTTCTCAATATTTTTTAAAAAAATATGAAAAAAATTTTAAAGTGCATGAAGATAAGAAGAATATAAAACCCAAAAAAAAAGCTTCATTAAAAAAAAGTCGCATTGTTGATTCACATAAATGGTGCCACGGTTTTCATATGTTATATTTTAAATTAATATTTTTTAAAAATTTATACAATTATTATATGTCAATAAGTAATCTAACATGATTAGAAGTTAATTTATTGTGTGACAAGGATGTATGAAGAGTAGAGTACATTATTGTATTGGGTAAATTACTAAATTTAATAAAGTGGGGTTAAAGATAAGAGGCATCTTTGAAGTTGAAATTAAAAATTGTGCTTATTGATTTATTTTGTCAAATATTTGTCTTCATATTTAACACATGGGCGGAAGTTATTGAGACTAATCCAAAAATCGTTCTTTTTCTTTTTATTGCATTTTTTCTGACCACGTGAATTACTTAGGCCTAGGTAGATAGCTAGCATGATCATGATCTTATTAGTTTAACTTATCTTTTACTAATTTTACATTAAATTTTTTTAAATAATAATAATAAGTAATATATTCATACCTTTTAAATAATATAATATATTGTAAATTTATATTTTTATTTTTATGCATTATATTTCATCTCACTCTTAGTAGATGAGTTTTCTTGTCGTAGCTATCATTCTTTCTAATCAAATTGAAAAATGAACATGCAATTGTGAAAGGTCCATTTATGGTGCAAAGTTTGTAATGATCAAATTTGGAAAATAACAAGACAGCTAATAATTAAGAGATGCGACATATATTGTTGCGTCCCTAGCCAAAAATAAAAAAATAAAATTGAGCCGTTTGATAAATTGTAATATAAAATTTTCTAACAAATTATTTTAGTTGTCATTATCATAAACTAGTTTTTAATCCAATGTTTCTTATTAACTTGGTCCCTCAAATAAAATATTTTAAATATAGTGTTTCACGGAGTTATTTTCTCAGCTTAATTCTTTCTTGGAAAATGCATCTTAATTCAGTCACTATAAGGTGTTACGTGTCATGGGAGTTGTTCATTTCTTCATACATGAGGTTTTTATAAAATGTCACTGCTAATAATTTTGAAGACGATTTTATGAGATACTGACACTATTACAAAAGAAAAATAAAAGCTGACTCTGTAGATATTTTTGGCTTTTTCTTATGATTATTAATCTTTAAGTATTAAGACATTAATATAAATTTATCTGATTATTATTGAAAGTTAGAAACTACCTCCATTTAATAAATGCAATTAATAGAAATATTTTAGATAAAAAAATTGCAAATTTAGGTGGCAAAATGAAATGAATCGAGATTTTATATTCAGAATACAAGTGAATATTTTCTCTAACTCCTACATTTAGAACCAAGAAAATAAATAAAAAATTGGATTGAATCGGTGGGTTCAACCGAAAACTGGTGAACTAGTAAAAACCAGTGATGATTAATCGGTTTAGATGATTATGTTCCTATTGATCTTATTTTTCTTCTTTCAACTCCTAATATTTTAATCATTATAGATTAAAATGAATTTTAATGATGATTTTTTTATATTATTAAATTTAGTTAGTAAGGAACTGTAAAGATCAAAATTTCCAATATTATTGAGTACTTTGTTATTGTTACAACCAACTATTATTGTAATTTATTATATTTAGTTATTAATAATTATTAATGTTGTTGTATTTTTGTTATCTTTCAATTAAATATATATTTTAATATGAATGGTTTGACTCGGAATTGACTCCAATCTGACCCACTGATTCTTAAACTACTATTTTAGCTTGTTTAATGTCCTATCCAATTTTTAATTATATTATTTTAATATACTGGTTTGACTCTGAGTTAATCAGATCTGATTATTAAATCAGTATCTTAACCGATTTAGTGTCTTATCTAATTTTTAGCTCCTTGGAACCGAGAAAGCACGTGTCTCACTCTCGGCCAAACATGCGCACAAACAACGCACATATACCATCAAAGAACAAGAAAAACACAGCACTGTAACTCAGTTACAAACAACAAACGACAAACACAAGCAAAATGAATCCAATCAGACATGCAAATTAAATAAGAAAAATTAATGATATACTATTTATTATCCTTTTGCAATGAATTTTCAAAAACACGTGATATATGTTGTCTTAGATGCTTGAAAAAATCTTAACAAAAAAAAATGCCTGAAAAAATAATTTTGATTTGTAGAATTTCTGTATTTAATATGAACTGTAGTGTTTTCATTGGAATAATTTTTTTTTAATAAACAGAGAAGTTGATGATGTGATTAGATGTTTATTTGTTGATGTGAATCCAAACGATCTCTAAATCACTTTGGATTTAATATTAATACCAGTCAAATCAGAACTAAATGTTTATTTATTGGGAGATAGTAAGGTTTGAAAAACCATGTGACTGTAAATTGAGTAAGTTTAATAGAGTGGGGTTTGGTTTGGGGGCTTAAAGACAAAAGGCATCGTTGAAATTCAAGAGCAGTTGATAAGTACTACAAAAATGTAGTCCAAAAAAATGCAAAATTAAAAATACAGTATTTGGAATTTAATCAAAATAAATTTTACAAATCACACTAATTTCTCAATATTTTTTTTAAAAATTTAAAGTGCATGAAGATAAGAAGAATATAAAACCCAATCAAAAAAACAGCTTCATTAAGAAAAAAAAGTCGCATTGTTGATTCATATACATGGTGCCACGGTTTTCATGTGTTATATTTTAAATTAATATTTTGCAAAACTATATAATTATTTTATGTTGATAGTGAGTAACTTGACATTTAGAAGTTAATTTATTTTAATTAGTATGCTTGAAGACTCTAGTACATTGTTGTATTGGGTAAATTTAAATGAAATGGTGTTAAAGATAAGAGGCATCTTTGAAGTTGAAATTAAAATTGTGTTTATTTATTTATTTTGTCAGAGCATTTGTTTTCATATTTAACACATGGACAACAATTCAAAAATCATTGAGACTATCGTTCTTTAATTTATTTTGTAATTTTTTACGACGTGAATTACTTAGGCCTAGGTAGATAGCTAGCATGTTCATTACGTAGTTAGTTTAACTTATCTTTTACTAATGCGTGACATCAATTTTTTAAAAAAATAATAATAAGTAATAGTATTCGTACCTTTTAATAAATATAATATGGTAAATTTTATGATTTTATATTTTACATATTATATTTCATCTTGCTCCTAATAAGTGAGTGTTTTTTGTCGTAGCTGTTATTCTTTCCAATCAAATTGAAAAATGAACATGCAATTGTGAAAGGTCCATTTACGGTGCAAAGTTTATAATGATCAATATTTGGAAAATAATGACAACTACAACAATTAAGAGACGGAACATGTAATGTTAAGTAATTGAATTCCCCAACCAAAAAAAATTGAACAGTTTGATAAATTATACTACCTCCAGTCCTTAATATAAAATCCTGTTTGACTTTTATTTTGATCCTAAATATAAGACCCTAATCCACTTTGTCTCTCATATTTATATATTTTTTCCAAAGTAACATTTTAACAATGATAGTTCTAGTCAATACACTTGATTAGTAAAGATATTTTAGAAAAACAACACCTATTTAGGACAAATAACTAACTCAACTTACTTTCTTAATCTCCTCAAATTAGTCAACTGGCTCTTATAATTAGAACCGGAGGTAGTGATATAAATTTTCTGAAAAATTTATGGTTATCTTCTCAACTTAATTCTTTCTTAAAAAGTGCATCTTAATTCAGTCACTATAAGGTGTCACACGTCATGGTGGTTATTCATTTCTCCATCCATGAGGTATTTATAAATGTCACTGCTCATAATTTTGAAGGCGATTTTATGAGAGATTGACACTATTATAAAAAAAAATAAAAGCTCACTCTATAGATATTTTTGGCTTTTTTTATGATTATTAATCGTTAAGTATTCGACATTATTATAAATTTACTTGATTATTATTGAAAGTTTAAAAACTACCTCCTGAATATTTAGATAAAAAATTATAAATTTAAGTGGCAAAATAAAATGAATCAAGATTTTATATTCAGAACATAATAAATATTTTTTCTAACTCTTAAATTTAGAACGGAAATGGTATTTTGTCTCATCCTCGGCCAAACATGCACACAAACAACGCACATATACCTTCAACGAACAGGAAAAAACGCAGTACTGTTACTAAGTTACAAAACAAACGACAAACACAATCAAAATGAATCCAATCAGACATGAAAATTAAATAAGAAAAAATTAAAAAAGAAAGAAAAAAAACAGACTTTTGGTGTCAGATTTATAGGCATCACACATAATAATAAAAAAAAGGATGATGAAGATCTAGAGAGGGTTGTGATCAGTAGATGAAGAACAAAGAAACGCATCAATTCTTTTCTTGAGCTCCTCAGGATTTGCTCCCACTATTCTGTCCTTCTCATTCCCTCCACTTAGCATCACAAATGTTGGCATTGCTTGTATTTCCATCTTCGTTGCTACTTCCTGCTCAAACCCCCCCCCCACAGATCCCTAATTAATCTTGATTTTTCACTTGAATCACATTATCCATTCATAACTTATAAATAAATTGTGTTACAATAAAAAACTAAAGATTCATAATGAATGTATAATACTACAACAATAACAACAACAAAGCCTTATTTTACTAAGTGGGATCAGCTACATGGATCACACGATGTCATTAAGCTCTATCCAAGACTACATCTTTGGATATATTGTTAATTAAAATATTTTGCTTAATAATTTTATTTTCTTACAATGAATGTATATGAGAAAGAATTGGCACAACATTATTGAAGAAGAAAATAGTTCTAAATCGTTTGAAGTGATTTAGATATGTACAAAGAAAACCATTAGGCACTACTGAGAAGGGTGTGTATATATATAAGGAGTGACGTAGGAGTAGATAAAAGTCAAAGAGAAATTGAGCGAGAATTTTGATTAATAATACTACCTCCGGTCCTTAATATAAGATTTTGTTTGATTTTTATTTTGATCCTAAATAAAGATCCCAATCTATTTTGTCTCTCATATTTATTCAATTTTTTCCAAGATAGTCCTTCTAATATTTTAGTTTTTGCCAACACACTTGATTCGCAAGGATATTTTAGGAAAGACAATACCTATTTATTACAGATAACGAATTTAAGTTTTTTTCTTAATCTTCTCAAATTAGTCAACTAGCTTTTATAACTAGGACCGGAGGTAGTATATAGATTTGGTATGTGCTCTGTGCGATTGACATAGCCAACCCAGCTAACCAGACAACACTTGGTACAGTATAAATTGTGTATATATAAAAGGAGATAGCTACGAGTATCTGGAAATATGAATCAAGGGATATGATCACCTACATTTCAAAAAGGAAAAAAGAAACAAGACTCGTACTTGTGTGGAACACAGAACCAGAATAGATCTTACTTCTGTATGTCGTTCTCTCTCTTCAACTTAGGTAAAAGATTAATAATTTTGATTCATATATTGTCCAGATGAAATTTAAGAGGAAAAAGGGAAAATGGAGAGATCAAAGAAGCAGACTTGGAATTATTTAGCAGAAGATATATACATATGTATAATAGATTTGATTGTGTGCAAAGGTTGTATGTAATAACTGATAATAACATCGTTATTATTATAGCCGAGAAGCCAAAATCAAGAAATGGCAACACTAATTACCTGAACCTCATCAACATCAAGCATGAAGAAGAGGGCTTGTTGATAGGAAGAAGAAAGGTTTTGAAAGGAAGGATTCATGGCGACAGAAGGCATGCACCAGGAAGCAGAAAAGTGAACGACAACCTGCAGTTTTAATTAGATTCAGTTTGCAGATCAGAGCAGAGGAGAATCTGAGGGAAATGAAAGAGAAGAAGATGAGAGAGACGAACAGGGTAGGCACTGATCTGATTTTCCCATTCACTCTTTGAGTTTATTCTGATAACCCTAGATTTCTTCATCTTCTCATGCCCCTTCATCTTCTCCTTTTCCTTCTTCTTCTTCGGAAGGATGCTTTACTGCTTTATATAATTATAATGCTTTGTCAAACCATCAGAAACATGTGTAAAGATATGCATTAAAATATATGTTGCCTTTTTTATTGCCTTACATTTTTCTCATTTATTTTCTGTGGAAAATATGAAAGACCAGCACAAATATCTCAATCTCTGCTAAAGTAACATAAATATTTCTTGAGTTTTATGGAATTATATTATATAAAGTGTTTATAAAATCTCTGCTAAAACTATAGGATTAATTGATTAAGTTACATGAACTCCTGATTTCCATCCTTAATACTGATATCAGTATAAGGTATCAAATTTATCATTCTAAAATCATCAACGGTATCAAGAAACTATAAAATAAATAGCATTAGGTGGGTGTTGGCTTTATCCAATTCATGACTCTTTAGAAATAATTAATTTAATTTCCGGCAAGAAAAACTAAATAGTACTTCTCTGGTCTTAAATATAAAACTTATTTTATAGTGTAAATTACACCACAAAAAAGATATTATATTTACTTATTTAGCACCAGAAGAATAGCATTTTTTGTTGTTGTTCTTGGAATTAAAGAACATGCCTTGCTTGTCATCTTCTTTTGCCTTCTAATTTGTGATATGTTGTCCTGCAAATAAAAAACAGAACATTAAATCATTTATGCCATTTTTGTCTCTATTTTGTAGCTCTTCAGGATGCGCCGTTACTTTCTGTAGCTTTCAAATGCATGACTCACCAAACAAGAGGTTGAAAAAAATTAAATACAAATCTTATAATTGAGAGGACCCCAGAAATGTCAAGAATCATAACATTTTTATTTGATTTTTTCAATTTTATTATAAAAATATAAATGAACTTGATTTTTTTTTTGGTTCGGCTAAACTTGATGGTCACAATTTCGGATAATGTAGGTCTGAAATCAGCCAAATACACATACATTGAAAATGAAGTCGTGTCCAGACAAACTTGTATAGTGTCTTCCCTGGTGTGGACCTTTACCCTTATATTTAGTGGAGGGGAGGGAAAATTTTTAGTTAGATTTAAAAATTAGAGAGATGTATTTGAAAATTTTTAATTTTTTTATTCTTTCATTTTACATCTTCTTTTTATTAAAATTTTATAACCCCAATTTTCTAATTTTTTAAATGGAACTCGCTGAAAAATTTTTCCTTCCCTCCCTTCTTGTCTATTTCCCTCCTACCAAACATAGAATAGTTAAGACTACTCATAAGGAGGTGTGCCTTCAGATTGGATTATTTTGCTCACCACCTCTTCTCTTGAATAGGAATGCTGATAATAGAGTCCTGCCTGGAGAAGATCACATAGGAGCTGGCTGACTTAGTGTCTTGGTTCTTGTGTTGTTTTTCTTTATCTGTTTTTAGGTATAATTTGAGTTTATCAGACTTTGCATGGTGGTTTTATTTCAATGATAGTTGGTTTTGCCCAGGGGAAAAGTTGCATATAGTGTTTGTTTTTCGTCTATTAATTAATCAATTAATTTAATCATCATCAGCTATGGAGTCTGATGTGTCAGGATTAGGAGTATTATTTTACGTTTATCTTGAAATCAAAAGGGCAATTTCATTCGAAATTGGGGAGGTCCTGGGTTGGCTAGAAACGCTATATGAAGTAGTTTCTTGTTGAAATAAGGAACTATCGATTCAATTGAGAACTTAGTCATGCTTAGTCAAATGGGGCAAATTTATTCTAATTTCTTGTGAACGTCCAAATGATTGGATGCAAATTATCTACTCCTCCGGTCCTTATTATAAGACCCAATTTGACTTTTTATTTGGTCCTAATTATAAGACCCAATCCATTTTATCTCTTATATTTATGCATTTTTTTCAAAAATAATCTTTCTAATAATGATAGTTTTAGCCAATATACTTAATTAGCAAGGATATTTTAGGAATAACAACACTTATTTATTATAAATAATCAACTTAACTTACTTCCTTAATCTCCTCAAATAAGTCAATTAGGTCTTATAATTAGGACCGGAGGAGTATTAATAATTTATGATGGTTTGCTCGAATGAAAATGTTGTGATAAGATCAATGTTCTAGTTTTATGGATGAGCACAGAAAATCATTTTGAAGGGGTCATATTCAATTAAGACGACAATACCTAAATTTGATTAAATAATATAATATATTTTGTCTAATTCTAAATATAAAACTTAGTTTAATTGTAAATTTTAATCTTCAATATAACATCTCAGCTCATTCTGTCTCTTGCAATTGTTAATTTTTCTCAAACTGTTTATGTTAATTTCAAATATAGGAGTAATTTTCAAATAAGGGTATTTTATAAAAAACCAGTATACACTTTTTTTTATATAAAAAAATAACTTAACTATTTCTTTTAATTTATGCAAATTAGTTATCTAGTTTTTATATTTAAAATTCATGGTATGAAAATCTAATTTGATTTCACAAGTTAGACTAATAAACTTGTAAACAAGTTCCTTGACCAGTTTAGCTAAGAGTTTCAGACCAGTCAAATTGGATTTTATATGTTTTCTTTTTTCATTATCGAGCTTAAAACAACATTATTTTGAGTTTAAAAAAAAATAATTTGTGCTTTATGAGCTCTTTTTTTATTAGATTATGTGTGGTTGATATATCAACATTCTATTTATCTGTGATTCTTTATTTAAATATTACTTTTTTCAGAATTATATATTAATATTTTTATCTATTTTTATTTAAATTATATTATTTTAAATGATTGGTCTGACCAAGAATTAATTCTGATTTAAACCATTAACTCTTGAATCATTCTCCATTGGTTCATGAACCAAATCCGATTTTCAGCATGTTACTAGAATTAGAGAAAAAGTATCAAATAATTGCGTGACTGAGTCTAGATTGTCACGCATTATGTGGGCCATCTCTGCTTCATTCTCCATCCACTGATCATGCTTGTGCTGAATTTCTTCCTTATCTTTTTCTCATTAGAAAGAAAGAGAAAAGAGAGAATTGGATTCTATCCGTATAGGCATATATTAAAATGCTGTAACGACATGAAGATGAAGACGAGGATGATTAAAACGGAGGGCTCCTGTGGAGATTCTTTTTTAAAAAAAAAAAAAATGAGGGGGAGCAAGGCCCAAATGCAAGCTACAAGCGAAATAAGGGAGGGGATAAAATCCATTTATGGATCAGGTAAGAGTCCCTAACTTCCAAATTGGTCTAGAGGCCCAAATAAGTACAGTACCCTGGCCCAAACATTAGGCCCAACCAAAGCCCACAGTAGAAATTAAAATTACGAAAGCAGCCTCAATAAGGATAGGGGTATCTGCTTGTGGTGCTGGCGGAATACTGGATAGCATTAGTTATGCGATATAACTGTAACTGTAACTGTAACTGAACCCCATTCTCATGCTCACACAATGACTCCTCTCGCAAACTCAAATGGAGTCTCAGGCGCCTTACCTGCCATCACCAACCTCCCATACACTCACAGAAACCCTAAAAGCAGAAGACAGTTTCAGATAGTTGGGCTTCAGGGAAGCCAAACGCAGCAACCTCCACAACAACAATGTCCTGTTGTGATCACAAGAAGAGCAGCCATAGGACTCGTGTCCTTCATTCTCACTGCAAATTCAACTCACAAGCCTTCACTTGCTCTGGATAATGGCTTCTGGTACGAAATACCCTTGCCCTCTCCGTCAATCACTAACAGTAAGCTTTTCTTCTTCTCCATCTACTCTCTTCCATTCAAATTCGATTCCAAGGACTTAGATGCACCATTGTAGTATAGTTGTGTGACTTTGCCATTTTGATGGAGATTGGTTATGTGCTGGTTAGGGCTTGCGAATGAGAATACGGGGACTCGTTCTTTTCTGAAGAAGGGGATCTACATGGCTAACATTGGGGTGAAGGGAAGCGTGTATAGGATTAAGAAATATGCGTTTGATCTTCTGGCTATGGCGGATTTGGTTGCAGAAGATACACTGAACTATGTGAGGAAGTACCTCAGACTCAAGTCCACCTTTATGTACTATGACTTTGACAAGGTCATTTCTGCGGTTTCTGTGGAAGATAAGAAGCCGCTTACAGATATGGCTATCAAACTTTTTGACAATTTTGAGAAGGTGGGAAAAAAATGCCTTTTTTCTGTCTGTCCTAACCCTACATCCTTAGCATAATGAATTTCACTGTATTTACAGCTTGAAGATGCTGCGAGGAGGAAAAATTTTCCAGAAACAGAAGCATCCTATCAGGAAACTTCAGCTATGCTCCACGAGGTCATGGACCGAATGTCTTCATTATACCAAACAATTTGATTGCATCTAAATCAAAATTAATTGCTCTTTTAGACATTCAAATGAACATCCTTCTTGTATCCCAAAATATTAAAAAAAAAGAAAAGAATATCCTTATTGCTTGGCCTACTATAAAAATTATGTTTCATTCATTTAAAGTGCATCCTCCTACCTTTTAAGGATCGAGTATGATCCATATCACATTCCATGAGATCTCTTTTCTTGACCCCCCGGGGGGGGGGGGGACTGTGCGATGTTCAAGTTTCACAATAAACAAACAAATAAATATAAAATCATACACATACTCTTGTATTCAATAATAGAGCATGTTTGACAAGTTATCCCCAGAGAGGAAGACACCTCCTTATGGCAAAGGAAACGTCATGAATAAATAGATGACATACAGAGCAGAGTGGAACGTTCTTCAGCTGATGCAGACTCAGTGGCAGCTTCACTATACAAACTATATAGCCGGTCGATGTTAGAATCAAGCTCTTTAACTTCATTTGTTGTTTTATTTGTAGTACACACAGCAGCATTGTACCAGTGGGCACCAAATAGGATTAGGAGGGGTATTTGATGTGTACATCTAAGGAAGGATTAGAAATAGCTTAGGCGGGAGTCAGTGAGGCGGCCATGGGTTTGTCGTCGAGGTGTTCCAATCTCACATGCATTCACCCGGGAGGCGAATCGGAGTGAGCAGAGGGACTCCCCTACTGAGGAAGAATCAGGGGAGATATTCACAAACATCAGTATCTTCGAGTCGCCACCAAGGCAAGGCTGTTCAATAATTGGAACAAAGAACATCAGTACCTTGTTTTCATAAATGAATCGGATGTTAAGGCTATTATGACCACTCGAAAGAGCCAGCAAATGTTTGATGGTTACCACATTCTAGGATAGAGTATTTTTATCATAATCACAGAACTAGAACGTTAGGAAACACCTTATTTTCTGTATAAATTAATAAATCAAAGATTGCCTAAATAAAAAACAATCACCTGAAGTAGATATGTAAGCTTTGAATTCCTGAAGGGCACATGATCCTCCTTTTTGGCCAATGCAAATATAACATCGCTTAACGATGATAGACTTCTGTTGATTGCCTGATTTGAAATGGAAGAAAAATTAATTTAATTATTTTCGGAAGGAAAGTGGGGTAAAGACAAATTCATTATTTGAAATCAAACAGCCATGAATATAAGCCCATGATACACAAAGCATAATGGCTTTACATACTTGAGTTTCTTTCAGTCTATCCCCGGTGGACCCACTTTTTGAAAGACGCTCACTTCCAGCAAGATCAATTAGATTCAGAATACCTTGCACTTGTTGGTCAGTACTCTAGCAAAATGAAGAATTAGGTTATATTACTACCCAGGACCAACATGGAACATGAAGCATGCTTCTTATTAATGTCAAAAAATAAAAATGTGTACCTCATTAACACCATATATTCGAAGAGTGAACACAAAATGACTTCTTGATGATTGTTCATTCATCTGGGTTTTTCCAACAGACCTAACATGGGGCCCCAAAAAAAAAAAAGATATAGTTAAATCCAACAGCTAAAATCAGAGTAATTTGACTTACAGGAGAAGAGTAAGTCAAAATGTTGCATGGAAACAATGTACGGCTTAAAAGAAAACCAGTTGTCCATTACATCCGGAATCCATCAAACCAAGAGGACAGTACACTTTGGATGGTGAATTTTAGGTTCCGTCGCTTAAGTGTTTTTAACAATAATATGACCACGTAAAAAACTCTATCTAAAGAAATTAGTAATGTAGTGCTAAGCTACAAAGATTGTCTGCATGTTATTTTTAATTTTGTTTTTGACCAACATTTTATTTTTAATTGAAAACCCTGATTAAAAACACCAAAAGAACAGGACCGAAATCTTTCGACTTCCCCACTTTAAAACATTAGAAGTATGGTTATACCCTTCTGACAGAATTCATTCATTGTCTTGTACTCCTAAAAATGAAACACAAGACATCGCCAAATAACCAAGTAGACATGAACATTCTAAATTAATCACCTGCTATTCGCAGCTTGATTTAAAAGAAATGCGACCTCTTTAACACTTTGAACGTCCACTACTGTAAGATCAGAAACAATTGTATTTCCATTGGCATCATGTTTGATCGCATACTGCTTTCCAGGAGTGCCATTTTCTGTACGTGTTGCATCTGATGATGGTCGATTTGTTGATAACAAATCACGAATAGTTTCATTATATATTTCCAACATTGACACCTGTGATTATGAAAGAGAAACCTTATTAACAAAAAATTTAAATACACAAATGCATTTCAATGGCCGGTTAAGCTTAAAGCAAGAGGAAAGTACTTTGTCACCTGCATTTCATATTTCCATCCTTGGGATTTCAAAGATTCCTTTGTTTGAAATATTTGTTGTAATGATCGAGGTATCAATCCCTTCTCCTCTGGATGTCCAGGTCTCCCCATCATTGTATAGGTTTTCCCTGACCCTGTCTGACCATAGGCAAAAATGCAAACCTGGAAAAGACCATTAAAAGATACATAAGGTGTGTAGTGGATACAAATCGATGTTCTAACAGAATATATTTGTAAATTTTCTCACTATGCACCTAAACGAATGGATTGATATGTTATTCGGAGCACCAACAGGTCAAAAACTACCGGATAAAAGAAAGTCAAAGATACACACAAACAATACATCAGTACTTGTTTAAAGAGGGTTAGAATTGTCTATCAAAGGGACCAAAAGAAAAGCATAAAAATTACCTTATAGCCATCAAGAGCACTTTGTACAAGCTGTGAAATTTCTACAAAAACTTCTTCTTGTGTTGCGTCTGGTGCAAAAACCTTATCAAATGTAAAAGAATGCTTTTGCCCTGAGGAAAATGCAAGAGTAATATGAGTTGACAATATAATTAGATCAATAACTAATACATGCATCAACATGCAAAAGAACTTTGATGACAGCAACAAGCTCCATACCAGTTTGATTTAAGTCAATGGCTCGTCCAGAAGCTTCCATTGATGTGGGGTAAGAGATGATCTTGTTGTCTGTGTTACAAGCTTCATCAGGCAATGAAGGGCGCACTCTACAGAATACGCGGATGTTCCCTTTTAATTCCTGTTAAAATGAAGAATTACTACTACTGCACAGATTTTTTATCATCAACAGACAACAATTGCCTTTGGATTAGGGAATCACCAGAATCGTATTGTGTAACTTTTTCCGCAGCTTCTCCGCTTCTATCAGTTTAGATTCTGCATCTGCTAAACGTCTTTGTAACTCATTTACAAGTTTTTGTTGGCCTTCAAATTCTGTCCTTGTCTCAAGTACAGATATATCGGACACCTGATAAGATACAAAAACAGCCATATTGTAAATTTAAGTAAGCAATATTTTGTCACTTAAATCAGGATTGGTGCATCCAAGAACAAGATAGAATTTGATTATATAATATATTATATTTTCTCACAACTTAATGCCATATTACCTGCATTTTCTTCTCTGCAACTGCTAACTGCTCTTGCAATGTCTTTATCTGACTATCTTGCATGGAACATCTTGCCTATGAAGAAAACTCATCATCTACAGCACACATAATAATGAGGAAAGAAATATTGACTCAGGATATTGGCTAAAAACCAACCTCTAGTTCGTTTGCTTTTATCCTCAAAGTGTCCAGTTCACCACAGGACTTTTCTGTAGATTCTTTCAATTTCAGCAATTCAGAAGTTAAAGTTTCCACTTGAGATAATTGGCGATCCCGATCATCTCTGACTTGTTGCAATTCTCCTCTAAGAGATCCAACTTCACTAGCGAAAGCATCCTTCTGTTTTGTGGCCTCTTCTTGAGTAGACTAACAATCGAACCAATGAAACTGTGTAAGATACCAGCTTCATGTCAAGTACAAATAGAACAAGCAGAATAGCTAACCTAGTTCAACAGATTTGGTCATCTTAAAGTTCACAAAAATCACAGTGAATTTACAAGCCACGTCTAGCATGCTTAAACTTCTTACCCAAAAAGAAATAGCATAGTAACTTTTCTCCAATACTTACATAAAGCCTAAATTACATCCACCAAATTTGCTGGTATACAAGCACTTTTAGTCCTCCAGTACAACTATGGTATGATAACATCTATGCACGCTTAAACTTGGGAAAACTATGAGATCTTTAAAGCACTTATATGAGATTCTGTGTAAGTTCCAAGAAATCAAGTTATCTCCACCAATTTCCAACTTATAAAATGAAAAACCACAGCACCACAGGTGCTGTAGGATGAACAAAATGCTGCTATCTTGAAGCTTCATTGCTATCCCTTCCATGCTAGCAAGGGACAGGCATATTTGCACAAGCACAAATATGGCTGGCAAAGCAGATTTACATTGATTTGAGTTCTACTAAAACAATTTTTCAACTTTTATGACAAAGACAAAAGAATGTTGAAGTTATACACAATCAAAAATTTCAAAATTTGAAAGGAAGGTTGCAATAGTGTTGTGCTAGCTTATAGGGGAATGTTTTTGTACTTCTCATTGTGGCCACTTGTTTAGCCATCGAACTATTTTCTTTAATAATGTCCTTCAAGTACAAATATTTAATCAGAAACTACTTGTAAATCCTCAAATGAAGACCTCTATCAGTACATTGTGTCAAAAAAAAAAAAACTTTAGAAGTGTAATGCTTTACGCTTCAAGATTTAAGCCACATCAAGTGGCATACCACCAAGAAAGAATATCACGTTATAAGATTCTTCCTAACAAGAAAATTACTTAAAACAATATTGCATCCTTTTGTGCTAAAAAAGAGAATTTCATATGTCTATTATGATTTTGCAGATTATTTGTTCCGAAGTCCAATAGTTCACCAAATGAGGGGGGGCAGGGGCGGGGGGAATTACTTGGGACAAAGTAAGTTGACCCCTTAACATAGTGAGGTTTTCCACTGCACTAGCCTTCTCTTTCTCCACACGCTTGAGTTCATCTTCAACTGTAGAAAGTTCTGTATGAAGCTTCCCATTGTATTGCTGTAGACTTGTTATGTAGTCTTGTAACCGCTTATACATTTCATTGAGTGACGCTATCTGCAAAAAACAATAGAAGCGGACATTTAATTATCACGTAC